TCATTTTAACCTTATTATTCTTACTAACTAATTGATTATTAGAGCTATCAAAATGAGTCAGTCCGTCCCATTTGGCCCTAGCCCGTGTGGGTTAGGGGCAAAAAACTCGCAGGACCAAATGAACCTCAATAATCAAGACTCGCATGGATCAAAAGCCTTATTAGTTAGCGCCAAACGGGCCATCCAAAATTATAATTTCACAATTTTTTTATCAAATTCAATACATTAAAAAATATTTTAACAAATAAATTTTTAACACTTTCTTAGCATATTTTATACAAATTATAAATTTCTTATAATTTAATTTTTTTAATAAAATAAGATTTGTACACAAAAATACAAGTGAAAATGTAAACAAAATTTTAATATAAGTTAAAATTTAGTTTCTACTTTTACTAAATTCATTATTAAATGATGCCATCAAATAAAGATTTTCTCACCGGGAGTAAATACAACAATTATAGTGGAAACTAAAAGTAATGATGAAAAAATTATCTTAATATCAATATTGAATAGCTGCTCTTAGTATGTTATATATTTGAAAGTAAAATAATTAATTTTCTTTAACTAATACCCTTACAAAAAACTTTTTAGTTATTATTATCTACAAAATTACTAAAGTGCATTGTATACAATATGTTTCAATACAAATTTGGATGTATAACATGCTTAGATGTCAATAGAAATTTTATTTTTATTGATGCGTAGATGAAAATCTCTGTTAAAATATATCACTACTGAAAAATTAATTTTTGTTGTAAAATTATGGATGAACTTCACATGGTTCATAACACGTGACTCTTTTGTTTTTCATGACCTTTGATATATTCTATAATCATCACACTAATGGTGTGTTGAATTGTAGAATACATCCAAAGGGGTACTGTAAAATATTATGGATGATCTTTCACGTGGACTATGGATGACCTTTCACATAGATTATGCATAATCTTTCACATGGATTATGAATGATCTTTCATATGGTTCATAACATGTGACTCTTTATTTTTTCATGACTTTCATGTTTAAACATGCATCTAAAATAGATTCTTATACAAACTCTTCGCTTATACTTATTCTTATTTTTTTCTTTTTATTTTTTTTTTACCCTTCATTTTTCTCTCTTTCATATTTCTCTTTCTTTTATATTCTTAACCAAATTCACTACAATTTTTACTTATATTTTTAAATATTTAAATTTATATAATTTTTAGTTTTTTAAATAATGAAAATTTTGATTAAAGAAAAAGTTTGGCCCGCGGAACAGCCCTAATCCAGCCCGCTAAATTATAGGGCTTTGAGGGTTAGGGCTAAAACAGGCCCTACCACAAAAAAAGCCCGAATGAGTAAGGATCAAATATAATGCTTTGCGGGCTGACACACGGGCTTTAACCCATTTTGACACCTCTATTTATTATCTTGTATGAGTAATTTAGATTTGTTAAATATAGTCACCAAACACATGTACGAGGTTTTTTTTATCTTAATCTTTAATATTGAGTTTAAGTTCTGAATGTGCAAACTTTATTATAACAGAACAAAAATATTAAAAAAAACATTTTGTGAAAAGCAGAACATATATATATATATATATATATTTTTAAATTAAAAAATTATAAAATCCAAATCAACCCGTACACTTCACAATTCCATATGCGCGACAAACCTCATTTTCTCCTATTTCCTCCATTCTTTTCTCCCATTACTTCACAATTACATTACCATAACTTGTCGCTTGCCGGGCTCAATCAAGGGCCTCCCTTCCCAATGCCAATACGTACTCGCTCTACTCCTCCCTGGCTTCTGGTTCATGCCAAGGTTTTTCATCTATATTGAGAAGAAGTGAATAAACTTAAACAAATTCAGTTACTGAGGAGACCACATACCTCATACCTCCATGTGCTGAGACTAAGTAGAGTAATGAATATAATACTGTTTTGTTTAGATGAGAATACTATACAATTGCAATACTAAACATACAATGTAACGTTTTAACTTGAATTGGAAAAAACTAAAATAAAAACATCTATACACCTATTGTTGAATTACACCCCATAAATTTGGGGTCTTTCATATACTATAATTCTTTGTAATGAATCACTTGCAGTTGCTTGCACGGTTAGTCATGAGGGATGCCTATAATTAGGCGCCACCCAGGGAGGATAAATTTGCTCACATTTATACTGTGTAAGTGTGGATGATCAACATTTCCATCCTCTCACTTATGTTATAATTATATATTAATTTAATTTAATCTGTTAAGTTTCTCAAGTTATTGATATTCAAATTCTCTGGTCATAATTTATATGAAAATTCTGACCTCGCAGGTTCTGGTTATTATATCTGACTCTCTGTGCCGGTCTATATTTTATGGTGGGTTTTTGAATGCCAGTAAGTTATGGTCATATTATGTTACTTCATTTTTAATAGTCTATAAGATATCATTTCACCTTCTTAATTTTTTATATGGTCATTTTGTCACTTGTGACATTTTAGAGCCCACAGAGAACGCCACCGTGAGAGGGAGGATGAAAGAGATCGCAATGATTATGTGTATCTTTTACAAGAGCATCATTAGAGTTTGAAGGGTAAAGGTTGCATAGATCATTCCCTCCAAGTTGTGGAAGGAGGAGAAGAAGGCTACTACTATCATGCACTAGTCATGAAACTATAGTCAGAACTGTATCTTCAGCTACTAAATTTCCTTGTTTTTGTTTCTTACAGTAAATATATATATATATATAAGTAAACAAAGGCTTTACTTACAACATAGGGGTTTGTTCTCCTTTGGAGGCTGAGTTATGGGGGATCCTTCATGGTTTGAGACTTGCTAGGGACCTGAAGATTCCTAGTGTTTGGTTAGGGTGTGACAGCAAGGAGGCAATTATTTGTGCAGAAGACAATGCAAGCCCCTGTGGTTTTTCTGCTCTAATAGGTAGCATTAAGGAAACAGCTCAATTTTCTGAGTTTGTTCAGCTGGAGTATATTCGCAGGGATTTCAATATTTGTGCTGATGGATTAGCCAAGGAAGGATTGAACCTTCAGGTGGTGAGATGAGGGTTTTTGAATCCCCACTGATAGTTTTGAGTCTTTTTTGGTTTTCTTTTTGTACCAAGCTGATGGTGGAACAGGTTTCGTAAACATGCATCAGCTTTTTGTGTAATGTTTCTGGGCTAGGCCCTCCAATTATATATATAAAAAAAAAAAACATTAATTCTGCACATAAACAACACCCAAAAAAATGCAAAAAAGAAAAGAAAAAGGAATACCTCAGTGAGATATTGCACAATCTGATGGAAGTTGTTAAGGCATGCCCATTGAAGAGCATAATAACCATTTTCCGTTAATAACCAGAAATCATCTTGTATAAGAGATTGAAAGTGGATGGGAATTAGAATACGAAATCAATAACTGAAGAATAAAGTGTTGATCAGAAAAATGAAAAACAAAAAATGCATGAATCAGATCGATGAGTATGAAAATTGAATTCGAATTGAAAGCGTACCCATTAGCGTGGAATTGGAAATGGTTGTTGAGAAATGCGGTAAGGAAAGGAAGATCGAAAGAGAGAAGAGAGAACCAAGGGCCGATCTCGGACTCGGACTCGATCAACAAATAAGCATTGTAGTGAGGAGCGTTGTTGAGATGCTTGGAAGAGAAAAGAAGAGGGAGATGTTTCTCACGACGGAGAGGGGAAAAAATGAGAGCGGTGCTGTTTAGGTGAAGGTTTATTTTTAGTATTTTAAACATTTTTTTTTTTTGAAAATAATAGAAAATTAAAACAAAAACACAACGTATTTTGAACATTTTTAAAAGGAAGACAATTGAATCAGCGTTTTAAAATACTTTAAATCAGAGGCTTTAACATAACCGCCTCCAGCAAACCGCACTTGGATATCAAATTTCCTGGAGTGATTTCATTTCTCTTAAATTAATGTGCTACCGAATTTATTTTTAAACAGTAAAGATTAAAAAAATAAAACATTTGTTATACGTTGGCAAGATCTAATGTGGAATCAGAATCCGATGGAACATGACACTTGGAATTAAAGTCAAAGTTATGGTCTTCGGATAAAAAAGAAGAAGAGAGAGTCAAGGTTATGGACTCGATTTCCCATTATAAAACTTTTGAGAAGACAGTGGCTGCGTAATTGTTGGCCTAGTGGTAAGCTCGATCTAACATTAATAACGAAAAATTTAACACAAAAACTTAATTTCAAACAAATAAATGTAAATTATTATTATCATGAAAATAATAGAAAAGAAAGCCAAAGACACAAAGGGACAAATTTATTCCCCCTACGACAAAGGGAATATTTATTTGACTCCTCAGCCTTGCAAACTAACACTGATAATTATAATGCATTTAGGCAGCTGAAAACACAACGAGGGGGCAGTGCCTTACAACTGTCTAATAAAACAAAAACATAATCAAAAATAAATAAACGCAGTCCTCCAAACAATGATCAAACACTTTTGACGTCTCGTTCATGGCTTTCTTTGTTTTCACACTTTCTGCTTAGGTCCTGCATATACAAATAAGCAAATATTGGTCCGTCAGTTCATCTCTGATCCCTTAACAAAATTCAACAACATAAATATTTTATATGAAATGGAGACTAAAATATTAAATAATAAAACAATGTTTCATAATAACAGCTAAATTATACTTGATAATAAATACTGATAAGTTGGTGAAGAGAGAATAAAAGTGGATTAGTTAGTGAAGGGAAATTTTGTATTAATTGTAAAGAACTAATTCAACTTAAAATCTTAAGGTGTTGGGTGAGGACTTTAGAAAGTTGAGGGAGATGATGATCGAATTTGTGACATTTTGATCACTGAAGTTCTGATACCATATATAAAGAATCAATTCAACTCAAAACCTGAAAATGTTGTATGAATGTCTTTTTAATTATTTATATTATTCTCTAACACTGATAATAATAGAAATAATGTAGGTTGAATGAAAGATAAATTACCATGTGGTATAGCATTATCTAGTGGTGATAAGGGGGAGGAGGTGATTTATAGAGGTAATGTGGTGGGGGTGGGGAATGGACCGGAGGAGGAGACTTATACTCATAAGGCTTCTTGTGTGGTGATGGTGGTGGTGGAGAGTGGTAAACATAAGGATGTGGGGGAGATGAGTGGTGGTGACGGTGATCATCACGGTGATGGTCATGATCATGGTCATCGTCATGGTGGTGGTGGTGGTCATGGTGGTGAGGGTGGGGGTGAGGATACTTGTGCTCTGGTGGTGGTGGAGATGAGTACTTGTAGGGTTTCTTGTAAGGTGGCGGTGGAGAGTGGTGCACTGGGAGAGGGTACTTGTGAACTGGTGGTGGAGGAGAGTTGTACTTATATGGCTTCTTGTAAGGTGGGGGTGGTGGTGATGAGTAATGGTATGGAGGAGGTGGTGAGTGGATTGGTGGTGGTGGAGATGAGTACTTGTAGGGCTTCTTATAAGGTGGTGGTGGTGATGAGTAATGGTAAGGAGCCTTTGGGGGAGGTGGTGAGTGAACTAGTGGAGGTGAAGATGGGTAGTGGTATGACTCCTTTGGTGGTGGAGGAGAGGAATAGGCGTAGTTTGCTGATATTTCAGATGGAAAACTGAAAAAGAATATGGCTAAAGCAAGAGTGAGAGAAGCAGAGGCCATTAGGGACCTCATTGTTTTCCAAAGTTTACTTTGAAGTAGGTTTTGGTTGTGATAAAAAGGAAGCAAGCGCAACCCCATTTTATAGTTTGCTTTATTTACCATTTAACTCCAATCAAGCATCTTGATGATTAAGTTTGCTAATTTTAACTTGAGATTCACCTTCCTGGAAACATGCATGATATTATGTAAGGCTATCTTTGAATTGCTGATCATTCGTGTTGACTTTTAATTGTAATAATGATACCCAAAGCGTTTTGGAACGTGGATTTGGATTTAATAGAGGCTGCCATAGTTAATTAAGCAGATGAACCTGGCTAGAAATGTCTACACCGCCTTCTTCACCTAAAAAAGAAAAGATAAGGTACTGATTTAATTATCCATTGATTCTAAAACAATGTCTTCGCGAAATTATTTATTCCGATATTTTTCTTCTCATCCTTTGGTATCTAATATCGAAATCTTGTATGTTTTTCTAAACTTGTATGGGGCACATATATATAAAACGATTCATCTCTGTCTCTCATCAATTAAATATTTTATAGTTCAGAGGAACTACTCTGTCTTATTCACAATTTGCATGTAGTTGTTTCAACTGCCATTGCTTATTATAAAATTGTGTCAACAAAATTTCCCAATGGTTTTTTTTTCAAAAAAAAAAAAAAAAATTTGCTTCCTAACTTTTACGCTCAGAATTAATAGATTTAGTATAAAATGATGGTATAGTCAAGCAACTGTGGGTAATTATTTTTACCCTGTGAAATTTATAAAGCGAACTTGTAAATGTGTTTAGTATAGATCGTCCATTTTGTAGATTGTACGCTGCGAGCTCCTTGTAAAAATTACGTACCCTTACTATACAAAATAGACTTGCAAGTTGTACCAAAAAAATAAAAATAAAAAAAAATAGATCTGCACGATTGAATTCACAAGTTCATTATAAATTCGACTCTACAACAATTATTGCAATAAAGTGCATTATTAGCAACAAGGTCAGACCTAACTCAGCAGAGGCAAAAAATAAAAATAAAAATAAATAGTAAATTAAAGTCAATATGGAAGGTGAAATTGTTTTATTATAAAGTCAAAGTGAACCTAATCAAAACCTTTTTATGAACTTTTTTTTTGTTGTTGGTAAAACCTTGTTATGAACTTTATTAATGTAGATCTTAGCAAATAATTAGCTAATTTTTATTTGAGAAAAAAAATTAATTTGTTTTATGACGCATTATAAAAGAAATAATTTAAAAGATACAACATTAAAATTCACAAGTGTCGAATTTTGAATCTTCAAATCAATGCAATTTAACCGTACCGGTATAAACCCTCCTTACCATACATTAATGTCGCCTTCGTAACTTTAGCCAAAGATTTGAGAAGAAACAGCGCTTAGCTGCAGTAATTGCAACAATTGTTAATACTATTAAGTAAAACAAACTCAGCATAAAAAGTCACTAGAATTGATCTAGTGGTAAAGGGTTTGGCTAGTTTGTATTAGTTTATGTGTTTAATTTCCATCAATATATCCAAAAAAAAAAAAAAAACTCAACATAAATAATGTATTTTAAAGATATTAATAATTGTATTCACTTATTGCACGTTTAGATTAATATATTCAGTATTAAAAAAGGTAATAAAAATGTTTACAAAAAAAAGTAATAAAAATATAATTTGAACTTTTTGAATGAAAATATTATTTTTTTGACAAAAAATAAACAAAATTAATTTTTTTAATGTATAAGGATATTTAATTTTAACCCCAAGCTTAAGGGAGGAGGAATATTTACTAACACGACAAATTAGAAAAAGTGTTTAATTTTGTAGTTTTATTGTTTACTTTAATTATGTCATTTATTCTTAGAAAAACAATTGTTCATATGCTAAGGGAAAATAATAATTATAATTCAAAATAAGGAAAATAAAATTTAATTATCAATGACAAAGAATTGCCGCATATATATATATATATATATAATATTTATATATAGGGATAGATTATTCTACCTACTATTTTTCTGCTTACCACAATAAATCATCATTAGATCATAATCTTAACTAACATTTATTTTTCTCTCTCTTCTTGAGATTCTGATCTGATGGTGTTGGAGGATGGTAGGCAAAGATAGGCAAAAAGAATGGTAGGTAGAATAACATATCTCATACATATATATACATATATGACAAAATGATTTGTAATGTGACTGCATCTAAAGATTGATGCAGTCACACACTTTACACTATGTCTTACCAGTAAGACATAATTATAATATTAAAGTTATTTACAGTATGTCTTACCAGTAAAATATTAAAGTTATTTTTTCTCTCTCTCCTATGTCAGTCGACAAATCTCTAAAAAGTTATTGAGGAGAGAGAAAAAAATAGCTTTAATATTATAAATATATTTTACCTGTAAGACATAGTTAAAGTGTGTGACTGCGCACCAATCTTTGGATGCAGTCACTATTCATCCGCTTTATCCTATATATATATATATATATATATATATATATATATATATATATATATATATATATATATATAAACATTTCTCCGGCAACTTGATATAAGGTTATCTCCGGCCACCCCAAAACTAATAGAGAGAGAGAGAGAGAGAGAGAGAGGAGGACTATATATATTGACAATTTTTTTTATAAACTTACAAATCACAAATCACATGTCTTACCGATAAGACTTCACTCAAAAGTGTCTTACTGCTAAGACATAATGCAGTTTGTAAGAGTTTATAAATAAAAAGTTTGTAAATATAATATTCCACACACACACACATATATATATATATAGACAGGATCCTTTGACATCGGTGTCAAATTTGAAATTTGACACCTCATCTGAGAGTTATTAGATCAAAAAAGATCAATGGTGTCACATGCTTACAAATCAGAGCCGTTGATCTTTTTTAATCTAACTGCTCTCAGATGAGGTGCCAAACTTCAAATTTGACACTGGTGTCAAAGGATCCTACCTCATATATATATATATATATATATATATATATATATATATATATATATATATATATATATATATATATATTGTACCTATACCTATTAAAATAAGAAATTATTAATTACTTTATTTAGTTCACATGCATGGATGCCAATGATTTATCTAATCTCAATGGAAGCCTAAACCTAGGCATCAACTTGGGCTCTTAGTTGTTCCTACAATGGTCGTATCTCTATTTTTATGCATCTAATTTGTCCTTATTAATTGAAGGCAAAATTCTAAAGAGCTTAAAATTAATCTACATGTAAATTTGTTTGCATCACTTATTGTAAATTATATATTATAACATTGTTACAAGAGCTTGATTTTGATTATAGGGAATTTCAAAGTTTTTTAATAATTATTACAGGACATGACATAAAATTTGTATAACAGTAGATAGCAAAATTTGAATTCTAATTGTACAATTATTTCACTGGTAAAAAAGTTTAGTGTCTGCAAAATAGTACTAGAAAAGTATGCAGCTTGTACATTTTAAATGTATTCATTATATCTAATTATAAGGAGAGGTTTTAAAAATTCAGTTCTGGCAATATACACTGACAAATTAATATGTATATGTACCCAACACTAGGGCTGTGCATGGGTCAGGTCAGGTTAGGTTTTTGTCCGACTCGACCCAACTTGGTTTTTATAGGTCAGGTATTTTGACCCTACCCGCTTTAATTTGATCCAAGTCAGGTCTGACTTGGATTGGATTTTGTTGAACTAGTTCAGAACCAGTTTGGATCTGACCTGACTTGGTTTCTGAAGTGGGTCTGACTTGGTTTCTGAACTGGGTCAAATCTGACCTGACCCGTTTTTGACTTGGTTTTCTCACAAAATTTTGTCAAAATTTTTACGTTGCAAAAGACGAAAATTTCGTCACAAAATTATTTTTTCGTCGAAATTTTTACAAAAAAAAAATTTCTATTGAAATTTAGTTTCCGTCAACAGTTTTGACGAAAATGATTTCTTCCATCAAATGTTTTAAACGAAAAAAGAATTTTGTCAAAAAATTTGACAGAATATTTTTCGTTCAAAATTTCGATGGGAATGTGTTCTGACGAAAATTTTGACGGAAATTATTTCGAGGGAAATGTTTCATTTGAAACTTTCGACGAAATTTAGATTCTCTAAAGAATTTTGACAGAATATTTTTTTCGTCAAAAGGTTTTTTTTGTCAAAAAAATTTACGGAATTTTTTATAGAAATGTGTTTCGTTGAAAATTTTGATGGAAATTTATTATCAAAAAACTTGACGAAAATATTTAGTTGAAAATTTTCGATGGAAATGTATTTCGCTAAAAATTTCGACAAAATTTTTTTTTTGTCCAAAAATTTAACGAAAATATTTTTGTCGAAAACTTTCTCCAAAATTTGAAATGTGTAAAGAATTTTGATGAATTTTTTTGCAGTTGAAATTTTTTGATGACGAAAATATTTCTGTCGAAAACTTTTGCCGAAATTTGAAATATGTAAAGAATTTTGATGAAATTTTTTGTCGTCGATATTTTTGGCCGTCAAAATTTTTTGATGACGAAAATGTTTCCGTCGAAAACTTTCGCCAAAATTTGAAATCTATAAAGAATTTTGATTAAATTTTTTGCCATCAAAATTTTTTGATGACGAAAATATTTCCGTCGAAAACTTTCGCCGAAATTTGAAATCTGTAAAGAATTTTAATGAAATTTTTTGCCGTCGAAATTTTTTGATGAAAATATGTTTCGTCGAAATTTTCAATGGAAATTGTTTTGAGGAAAATGTTTCATTTGAAATTTTGACATAATTGTTTTACGTTAAAACTTTTCTTTTAATGTAATTGTAAAAAAAAAAAATTCACATAATGGGTATGGGTCAAGTTTTGGGTCAGTGGGTCAATATTAAAACGAGTCAGGTCTAAAACTGACCCAAATAAAAGTGAGTCAGTATGTAAACCAGTTCAAAAAATATGGGTATTTTATGGGTCGGGTCAAGGGCAGAGCAAGTGAATCAGTTTTTTTGCACAC